TTTATACTACCAAGATCAAGCAGTCTGTGAGTGGAGCATTTGGGGGTAGCCATCCTCCTCTACTTGGTATGAAGAACTAGGTCTGTTTGATGAACAGGGTCCACATTGTATGAGGATTCTCTCAAAACAGCTAATGGATTAAAGAATGCATTGTAGTCTCTGAGAGTAGACTTCATGTGACACACCCTTAATCAAGCTGTGGCATCAGTTGGGTGGCCTTTGTTGTGGGTGTTAAAACCTGAAACTGAGGCTCAGCTGTCTTCCCAGAAAGAACTTAATGAAGGAAGACAAGAATTATAAGCAAAGGCTGAGTTACTATCCTCCACACTAGCCTCTGATTTGGAAAGGAGAGCGGGAGAGGGCGATGAGACAAAGGTGCTGGCTTTCCACTTCTTACAATTGGCAGGATGCAAGAGAAAGAGTACAAGGTAGATCTGTACTAAAGACCCCTACCTGGGACCCAAAAAGGTGGAACCCATGGGAATACCCAGACAATGAAGGGAACAGGGTAACATGATAAAAGACATCCCTCAGGTCTGACCTTTAATACAGAGAAGGGAAAAATCCATGATTCAACACACAGATGGGGACCATAAAAATGGCCTGAAGCAAGAAATCCTGATGGGGAGTGTCCGGTCTCTCAAATGCTTGATTTAGGAAAGATTTAAACAAGCAATGAAAGAGTTGCCAACCTGGCTCATGAGACTGTGGGATAGGGGGCTGCTGGGAACGATCTGAGTGTTATGGAAGTACAGAAATTGAGTAATGTAACTACTCTAACCTCCTGGAGACAAAGGCTACATAACCCGAGGATATGTGAAGCACATCTCTTCCTGATAGACTGACTCATAGTGGCCACTGAAGAGACTAGGAGGTTATTGCCAGCTGAGGTCCCCATGAGTATCAGGGACTAGAAGATAGTAGAGGAAGGACAGGGGTTACTGAGTAAGGCAGTGTTTGATGTCCAGTTCACTTGGCCTGATGGAGCTGTGGAAACGAGTTTTTAAGAGAGACTGATTTAGTCAGGCATGGTGGCACACGCCCTTGGTCCCAGCACTTGGGAGGCAGAGGCAGGCAGATCTCTGAGTTCAAGGCCAGCCTGGTCTACATACCAAGTTTCAGGCCACCTGGGGCCACAGGGGGGATGAGAGAGAGAGAGAGAGAGAGAGAGAGAGAGAGAGAGAGAGAGGGATTGATTCAGCAGGGACCTCAGGAATTACCAAAACCTTTAGTGGCTTTGCTGAGCCCCGTGGAAGGATGTGATCTCCATGACCTAGAAGCAGCTCTGGGAAATCTGAATGATACAGACCAACATGTAAATTGTGTTCTTAAAATGCAAAAGCAGGGGCCGTCTGCTGACCTCCACTAGCATTACATGATATGCAACTTTCATACATGCAGGCAATTACACTTGTACACATAAAATAAAATTTAAAAAGATGCAAAAGCAATCAGGAGGGAAACAAATAGGGTCAGAACAATGGGGTCCAGGGGCTGCTAGAAAGCAAATATGACATTTGTGTTGAACCAGAGCTCCTAGGGAAAAATAGGACACCAAAAAACTCTGCTGTGAGCTTCTGGAAGGCTTTAGTGCCAGAGCAGTAGTTCACAAAGGATATTGCTATGGCCCCAAATGAAGCCCCCAAATTGTAATAGCAAAAGTAACTTCAGTAACTTCATTTTGTATAAAGCAGCCACTTTAAACTTCAAAAGCTAGAAAAATAGCCAACTTCAAGGTTAAGCACCTGAACTTAGTTGCTTCCCCTTAGAAGAGGGCTTGCTTTGGAGTAGCTGACCTTGGTTTTCCCAGACACAGTAGCTGCACTTAATCAGAAAGTGCCTTACTGTCAAGGTCTCTGTACCTCGTTAAGAGAAGAACAAACACAAGCTTGCTTTGGCTTCTGTAGTTTGCTAACTTGGGCATCCTGACCATATTCAGGACCATTTGGCATTACTTATGTGTGATGAAATTCCTATGGTATTTGTGGTGTTTGCCTTTAAAAACTATCTCCACCCTCCCCTCAGGGCCATGGGTCCTAAATCTGACTAAGGGACCACAGGACAGATATAGCCCTAATAAATTTGACCAACTAAAATTTGAATTGAGGGGCTGGAGAGATGGCTCAGTGGTTAAGAACACTGGTTTGCAGAAGTCCCAGGTTCGAATCCCAGCACCCACATGACAGCTAACAACTGTTGGTAACTCTAGTCCCAGGGAATCCGACAGCCTCTTCTGACCTCCAAGGGCATAGCATGACATGGGTGCACTTACCTACATGCAGACAATACACATAGACACATAAAATTTTTTAAATTAATAATTTTTTTAAGTTTTAAAAAAAATTGAATCTGGTGGTCTTTTTCCCAGTGTTTTCAAACTCCATAACAATATAAGTGATAAAACAAGGCAGGTGAAAAAGATTAAACTTGACCTTGATTTGTGACTTTCTTTGTTGTTACTATAAAAACTTCATGAAACTTCTTCCACACTGGAACATGAAATTTGGGAGTCACCTAAATCTGTGTTCCTGGGCCTGGGTCACTGATAATTGGCTCCAGAATAAGCTTTCTTATCCCCAGTGAGAGTTGTGCTTAGCATTGACACAGCCCAGGGCCTTTCCATCAGCCAAGTATGACTGTGCAAGGGCCACAGCACTGGCCTACAGCCTGTCCCAACCAAGGACGGGGTCTAGAGGCATGCCTGGCAGGCTAAACTGAAGCACTTGAGCCTGATCATGGTGGAGCATATGAATGTAGAGAAAACTACCTGGGGACATTCCAGAAAGTGACATCTTTCTGTTTCAGGAGGCTGAGGCAGGAGTAAAATGTTGAGGGTCATGAAACATTCTGCAGAAGCGGTGGCACAGTCCCCTCCTCAGCACTCAGCACAGGACAAGAGCTTGTCTCTCTCAGTGGACATGTTCCCACCACGTCTCAGAGTCAAAATGTCTTGATCCTATCACCGGTTGCCACTTGACAGGGCCATCATATCATTTGGTGGAAAATGCCTACATGCCACACAAAATACCCAAATATCTCTGTTGCCACCTGCTGGCCACCAGAGCACTAAACAACAAACTCAAAGCTCACTGACATGGATATATATATATGTATCTTGGATATTTGAAGGGAAATGGAGCAGAGTAACTATTGTGTCTTCTTGAAACAACTTACAATGTCATTTACAATGTCAAAATACAATTGTTAATTGATTTGATTTATATCAGAAATGAAAAAAAGGGATATATAAACTTTAGAAACTGCCAGATACTCAAGGCTGTATGAAAAGATGACTCAGCAGGTAAAGGCACTCGCTGCCAAGCCCAATGACCTGAGTTCAACCTCTGTGACCCACATAGTCAGAGGGCCTCCACTCCCACACTATGGCACACACACACACACACACACACACACACACACAAATTATAATTTAAAATTTTTTAAAATGTGTATGTGTGTATCAGTGCACCCATGTTGTACAATGTCCACAGGGGTCAGAAGAGGGTCCCCTGGAACTGGAGTTACAGATGGTTGCTAGCTGACATGTGAGTGCTAAGAATCAAACCCAGGTCCACTGGAAGAGCAGCCGGTGCTCTTAACCACTGAGCCCACTCTCCAGCCCCTAGTACACAAATGAAAACAAGAAACATCAAGGGTCTAAAGCTTCAAATTTTTTCATCAGCAGCTTCCATTAATGTAGGCTTTTTTTTTTTTTTTTGGTCTTTTTGAGTCAGTGTCTCCATGTAGCCACAGCTGGCCTGTAACTTGCTGTCTAGTCCAGGTTGGCCTTGCACTCACAGAGATCCACCTGCCTCTGCCTCCCAAGTTCTGAAATTAAAGGCATGCACCATCACACAGGCCAAAGGCCATTTCTTTTTCTTTTTTTAAACATTTTACTTATTTTTATTTTATGTGTATGCGTGTATTGCCTGCATGTAGGTAAATGCACCCATGTCCTGCAATGCCCTCAGAGGAGAGAAGAGGCTGTCGGATCCCCTGGAACTGGAGTTACAGACAGTTGTTAGCTGCCATGTGGGTGCTGGGATTCAAACCTGGATCTTCTGCAAGAACAGTCAGTGTTCTTAACTGCTGAGCCATCTCTCCAGCCCCCAAAGCGCATTTCTTAAAAGCCTGCTTAAAATGCATTTCTTCTCATGTACATTTCTTCGATACCTTTTAAACACAGATGCAAAAAGTACTGTTAGTCTTCTTTATAGTTGACTTTAATTATCTTATGAAAGTGTTGTGCCCAGTTCACGAGACCCCAGAGACCACCAAGGAGCCGACCGATACAAGCACACAAGGGTTCTTCTATTGTTACAAGCTTAAGCTTGGGCCCACTCTGTCACTGACCTAGCGATCTCAGAGGTGAGACCCCTTGCTTTGGGAGACAGAGGTTTTTATAGGTTTATTTCAGCAAGCTCAGCAAGTAGGGAAGTAGGGGGGTCTTCAGCCTGGCAAGCATCTGATTGGTTGCAGCTCAGTGCCAAACCATAAAGTGCTGGCTTCAGGAAATCTGAAAAGACATCTGGACTTTTAGCACTTTCCTGTCCCTGGTTAATTGACTGTTGGCAGGGGAGTTGTTCTCTATCCATTCCAAGTATTGTGGTTTTTCTTGGAACAGGGCCCAGGGCTGGGTCAGTCCTATGGAGGTTTTATCCAAGATGGAGTCACTTGCGTCTCTCAAAAGCTAACATAAACCTGAATGGAACAAGCATTAACTGACTTTAGATTAATAAATGGTTTTTCTCGCTAGTGTTCTTTATATGAACTTTTTTGTATATTTTTATTGAATTTTTGTGCGTTTCATACATCTTAATCATATTTAAAAACAGTGTTTAGATCAGCCAGGTGTGGTGGTGCACCCCTTTAATCCCAGCACTTGGGAGGCAGAGGCAGGTGAATCTCTATGAGTTCAAGACCAGCCTGATCTACATAAAGAGTTCCAGGCCAGCTGGGGCTACAGGGAGACCCTGTCTTAAAAAGACCAAAAAACAAACAAAAAACAGTGGTTACATGTCATAAAGTGTATGCCAATGCCTTAACCACGTCTGTTGTTAGGTCCAAGAGCCTCTTTCATCTTTGTCAAGTGGAGTGCTAACCTTTTCTCATTTCATACAACATTGCACCTGTACTGTTTTAATATAAATGCCTTCTGTGAACTGTTCTGCAGGTTTCAAGCCTTCCAGAAGCTCCTTAGCACAGAATTTGGCTTTCTGTTAATTTTTTCTTAGGAACTCAGGAAAGAAGAGTTTATTCTGGCTTACAGTTTCAGGGTACACAGTCCACCATGGTGGGAGAACACATGGTGGCAGGAGCAGGAGGCCAGATGTTCATGCTGAATCCATAATCAAGAATCAGAGATCAAACAGGAAGTTGGGCAATGCTGTAATATCTCTAGGGTGGTAGTGGGTGACCCACTTCCCCCAACAAGGCTCTATCCATAGTAAAAGGGGATACCATTTTCCCTGATGTAGAGCTCAGGTTGTCAGGATTGGTGGCAAGCACCTTTACCTAATTAGACATCACACTGGCCTTGAAATTACATTTCTGATCCTCTGACTGTCCCAAGTACTGTGCATGCTCTCCCCACCCCATAAATAAATCAATGTTCTTTCAAAAAGAAAAAAAATGCATTTCTGAAATCATTCTTTCCCTTTGGAACTGTAGCCAGAGATGCTAGAAGCAACCAGACAATGTCTTTAATTCTAGATTTTCAGTTACATAACAAGAATTCTATACAGTCATTAAATATCAATGAGCATTGAATTCATTCATTTTCCATGTTTTTTTTTTCTTTTGGTCTTTTTGAGACAGGGTCTCCCTGTAGCCACAGCTGGCCTGGACACTCTGTAGACCAGCCTGGCCTTGAACTCTCAGAGATCTGCCTGCCTCTGCCTCCTGAGTGCTGGGATTAAAGGAGTGCACCACCATGCCCAGCCTCCATGGTTCTTTAAACAACTCACAAGATACTACCAGGAGATTTTTTTTTAATTTTAAGTGTTGTATAGTTGGTGAGTCACCTAGAGATACCACTAAGCCCATTAGAGAAATTCATCCTGGACTATGAACTGAAATCTCGGAAATTTTGGGCCAAAGTAAATTCCCTTTGTTTAGATTATATATTTTGTCACAGAGATAATACAAATGTGAATATGGAAAGATTGTGAAGAACATCAGAATAATCATGAGAAGCAAAACTGAAGCACATTAGCTCAATTGCTATATTAGTTATTTGTCTGTTGCTGTGATAGAAACACCATCACCAAAGGAACTTATAAAATGGAAGAGTTTATTTCATTTATGGTTCCAAAGGGGCAAGAGCCCATCATGGTGGGGAGGCATAGAGGCAGAGGTGGCTGGAGTAGGAGCAGAAGCTAAGCTTTACATCTTCAAGCAGGCACAGGAAGCAGAGTGACTGGAGATCCAGCAAGGCTTAAGAACTCTCTAAGGCTGCCCCCTATGACATGCTTCCCCCAGCATGGTCACAACTTCTAAGATCTCCCAAAACAGCACCACCAACTGGTGACAAAATGTCCAAATACTTGGAGTCCATGGGGAACATTCTCATCCAAACCACCACAACTACTCACCTATTACTATTATGCAACTGAAATGTAATCAGTAAGTAACATGAAGTACCACTTAAAGCAACTCACATCAACAAAGAACTCCCTATTACAGAAGGAAAGTTCCTTAAGTTGTGGTCTTGCACTTAGCTATGCTTGAATCAAAGAATTATAAGTTCCTGTAAGATTCACAAGGAGAGCAACACTGTTTTAGTGAACAGTAAAACTTATTGGAGTCCCCTAATGTACTACACTTTGAACTAACTAATGTCACAACCTTTCCTCACTTAAGGCACTGGTTTTCTTTGATTTTGTTGTTGTTTTTGTTTAATTGTGGTTTTTCAATTTTTAAAACTTATCTATTTTGTGTGTGTATGTATTTTGGAGCACATAAATTCAGCACATGTACAAAGGTCAGATACCAACTTGCAGGATCAGTTCTCTCCTTCAATCATGTGAGTTCTGGAGACTGAACCTAGGTCCTTGAGCTTGGCAGCAAGATCATTTACCCACCAAGCTATCTCAATGACCCTTATTTGTTTTTGAGAGTGTTCCTATGTAGGTGAACAAAGTCTTTATGTTCACTCGTAAGAAACAACAACAAAAAACCTAAAATAATGGACAGCAGTATGGACCCTAAGAATGACAAGAAGGGACCAGCACTTGCTACCAAGATGACCCCAGGACCCAAGGTGAAGAAACTGAATTCCACAAGTGTCCTATAACCTCTACAACATGCCATGACACTGGCATGCTCACACCCATACAAAAAAATAATGTATACAAACTTTTTAAAGATAGTAAGGTGAACTGCCATCTTTTTAAATTTATGTTTATGTGTATGAGTGTTTTGCCTACATGTATATAAGTGCACCATGTGCATGCAATCCCTGTGGAGACCAGAAGGGGATGTCTGGCTTTAGGGATGGTTGTTAGCCACTGTTGGGGACCCTTGTTGTGTAAAGTAGCGGTCTCTTCATGTCCGGATAGCCCATGGGCTCAGCTTCTTATGCAGAAACTCCTTTTTCAGCAGGGTGCCTTCCCAGCATCTTCCTGACTCATCTTTTGAAGTAACCGCCACAGAAACATGGCCTCCGGCTCTGGAACTGCCAGCTTTTCCTGTGTGATTTTTCAGGCAGTCTGGCAGCCTGGCAGGAGCCCACTTCCATATGTAAATAGGGCATCCCACAAAGTACCTATCAGCTAAGGCTTTTACCACTACCCCCACAGTATAAAGTATCCTGGTTTTCCCTCAGTAATTGGAGCTGGATCACTAAGACTTGGAGCCGAGCTGAGTCACTGAATAAAGGAGCTGTACCACTGACTGAGCTGAGTCCTGTGTCTTACTGCCTACGATCCAGCCTTCCCAGAGAGGGCTGTCTCTTCATAAGCCACGACTCACGGAGACCCAGCTTTAGCCTTCCCGCACCTTCCCACGTGATCCGGCAGCTGACAGATCTCCTATCTCGAGGAAGTGCATGGTGGAAATTGGGACGGAACCCGACCAGACCAGGCCTGGTAGCAGAGAGCCTCAGCAATGCGGAGAAGCAGGGACCCACCAGCAACGCGGAGAGCCAGGGACCCAAACAGCAGATGAGGCCCGCGGGACCCAACGCACTCCAGCGACGTGTGGGAGACCGGCTCCACGCCCAGCAGCTGGCGCCCCGAGATCCCCGCCCCCCATATCTGGCGCCCAATGTGAGAACCTCTGAACCTCGCACCAGCTAGCAGCTGGCGCCCACGGAAGCGCAGGATTCGTGAGTACCTCTCCAACCAGGAGAGAAGCAAAAATCTTTTCTTCATCTCCCATCAGGAGACTAAAAAAGGCGGTTGTGCCTACAAGCCTCCCCACTCATGGGGTCTGGCAAATCTCTCTTTCGTCTCCCATCAGGAGAATAAAAAGGCAGCTGTGCCACAAAGCCTCCCCACTCGTGGGGCTTGGCTTTCTCTTTTCTCTTTTCTCCTTCTAAAGTAAACTTCTCTAGTCAGTTTCGTTATCCTGCCCCCCCAGGGCATTCAAACCACAGCTAAAACCAGTCAAGTGAGAATTTAAATAACTAGCCCTGCGGAGCACTTGAAAGTTCAAGGTGACTCATGGCCAGAACAAAAGATTTAAAATCACCACTTTTTCTCTGCAGCCTAGAGGCTTGTAACTTGTCAGGGCATTCCAACCCCTTAGTGTCAGACTGCTGCAAAAACATCTTCTTTTATAATGGGTAATTCCACATCACACCAGAAAAAACTCCAAATTCGTTCCTCCAAATTCATTCCCTTAGAGCCTTACTTAAGTCAAGAGGGCTTAAGATCTCCCAAAAAGAAAGCTTAAAATTTTGGAATGAGGGGAAAGCTCAAAATTTTGGAACAAACTTTACCAATTTGCACCCTGGATCCTATCAGCAGTCATCTCTGATCCAGAGGTCTGGACTAACATTGCATATCTGGCTTGTAAAAAAGAAATCCAGGAAAAACATAATTTCCCTCTTTCCTTTTTCCCCATAATAGCAGCCATCCAGCAATGCTTAGGGCAAGCGTCAGAAAATAATAAAGGGGAAGGTTCAGATGATAAAAAAGACCCCAAAAATTGCCCAGTAACAGATTCAACAGAAGTCAAACAAAACCTACTCATCAGCAAAATTAATCTTTACCCCCCTCTTGCTGATTTAACATCAACAAAAATAACCTTTACCCCCCTTTTCCCCCCTGTGAATCCCCATGGACTGATTTAACAAACCCAAATGTTAAAACCCAGACTTCAAAAACTCACCCTCTCCCTTCACCTTGGCTGCCGCCTCACCTTGCGGCTCCACCACCGCCTGTGGCGCCGTTTCAGCCATGCCCTACAGCCACAGAGCAACTATGTAATCTTAGGGATAGTGAAAGTTGCCAGCCACAATGGCCTCAGGACTCCCAAATCCCACCGGTAGAGGCTTTTCCTGTTAACTTACAAATAACAAGGCAACGCCCAGTAGCCTGGTACCTGCTCCCAGCAGCAGAACTTAAAAAATTATGCCAGGCTGTCCATGAAGATGGAATTCATGCTCCATGGACAAAATCTATACTACAAACATTTAATGCTAACATGCTAACCCCCCAGGACTGGAGAGATATCTGTAGATCTACCCTCCCCAGTC